CAGAGTCGCAACTGGGGTCGATGATGGCGGAAGCTGATACCAAGATACCGCCAGATGACCCAATCGGCGAATCAGATGTTCGGCCCTCTCTCGAGCCTTGACCTGGGAGGTTGGAGATTAGATCAACTGGGCCAGACAGCTTCAACGTGCCAGGATCTTGCTGGAGGACGGAGAGACGAGCAACTCGCGGCTGGCAGAACGTAACCAAGATTATGTACGTACCTCGAAGGAGCAAGTGCTAAGCTGCAGGACCTAGTAAACCCCAGAAGCAGTGACGATGTGCTGATGTGTGTTTCTCTCCATGTGCTACCGAGTAGTTCTGTAGCGAACAGGAGGGAGGGGAATTGTCCCAGCGGGCGTTGAAGCGGGGGTTAAGTTGTCAAGGAGGCGATGATAATCCCAGCTATCCGTTGAGGCAAAGGTCCAGCATCCAGATAAAGCACTGCCGATGCTCAGGGGTCATCTTTCAGGCCTGGCGGACCGTGGCGCTTCACTCGGAGCCGTGGAGGGTTCGGTAAGCAGTCGACGGTGTTGATGCCTCTGGTGAGCTGGTTGGAGGCTGGAGCTTTGGTTTCCTCTTACTCCCAAAAGGGCTTTGAGATGGGGTGAGGCGCGGGCAGTCAACTTTGAAGCCGCTAACCTAGGCAGCTTCAAGAGACGGCGTTGCTCCTATTAATAATGAGATTCAGATGGTGCGAAAGGTGAGAGGAATGGGACCGTGGGACTGAAGGATGGATGCCTTCTAACGGCAGACTCGGAATCACCCACCCTCATATACCCATCTCACTACATACCTACCTCTCTCACTTTAAGCCGAGTAGAAGTACAAGCAAAGAGCAAAACAACACCTTCATGGACATGCCGGCAGCATGAAGCTCAGTTCCCAAGCAGCACCCTCTTTTCATGCTCGCCTCATATTAAGTTATGTAGGTCTCGCTTCACAACAGTACGCCTACGATACCTCACCTCTCTTGAAGCGAGGTAGTCCAGCCGTCCATCCCAAGCAAGCTATACACTCCTCTCGGTATTCCAACCACACGCAACAGTATCTCTATGCCGTATCTGCCGTAGGCATCTACATCAAGGGTATCTGATGAACTCGCCTTCGCCCCCTCCTCGCTTCAACCACGCTGCCATCCATTTTGCTGCACTCCTCCTCCTCCTCCTTCTCCCCTCTTCCGACCCCATGTTCATGTCCATATCCACGCCAAGCCACGCCCGAATGTCATGTTAGTCGAACCTCACTCCTCGCACCCCGAGACATTCACCTTGTTTCTCGTACGAGCAAACATTTGATCCCTTCCGTCTTCGACTCTTCAATCCTGCAGAGAAACACACGAGTACGCACCCACCACACCTAATGTTCAATTGTCTCTACTTCATTGCTTGCTATAGTCAACCACACTGTCACCACCATCCGTTCAGAAGGCAGGTGGCGTGCCTCCATCACGCGCCGACCCCATGATACACTCATTCTCTGCTCCGTACCCCTCAGCCACCCATCTTGTCCAGATCAAGACATTTAGGCTCACCGTCACGGAAGGGTCCAAGAAAGGGGGCCACTTCTCAATGATACATACACTCGTAAAAAAGGAATGGGAAAAGGATACGGTGTGAAGTGCAGTCAGCCGTGCGGGAGGAGTGTGGTTGGAAATACCGGTTCCCTTCTCGACACATGCCGCACCTCCCATCACCGCTGTGCGTCGGGAGGAGGCGAGCCAGGGTGCCAAAAGCGGGTGTCAGTGTTGGATGGATCATGAGCCGTGGGATCGCCAACCTCTCATGCCCACCCACACCAGGGTTGCTGCCGCTTTGCTGCATACCGGTCGTCTTGAAACGTGAAGTACCAGCGAAATCTTGTACCTAGACACACGCAGCTTCTGAGATACCTCGGGAGATTTTCAAAGGCGATCAGGAAGAGCTTATACCGCATGCCTCGTCTCATCTCACTCAGTCTTCATATGAGATTTTCATGAGTTCCGCCTTCATTCTTAGCAAGTTCTACATCAATAATCCGTCGTACGATTGTCACTGATGGTGAGGCCATCTACTGCAATGAGCACCCGTGTCACAGTAGCAACCAGCATGCTGGGACCCTTTTCAGGCGCCTGGCGCCCTGTGCGACATCTTGACGATTGGACCCTCAGCAAACATTTATCTGCTTGCCTCGTGTTTTCAAAACTGCATTGACTCAACTCACTCGTATAAATGAGCGTCTCAGTCGATGATGTGCATCTTGGATTCGCATCTCAGATGTTCGACGCATTGGGGTCGTATCTGAGTTCCAAGACGTCGAATGGCGGGACTATTCGATATTGGAGTCCGTCGATAACATCATCGGCACCAATCATGGTCAATGCTGACGAATCCCTAAAGCCGCCCATGTCTCTCAATAACTTGCTTTTTCTCATCTCTCTGATCTTGCATCGCAGGGTTCATTCAATGTCCATGGCAAACCCGAAGGAGCCCGCCCAGTGTCTCGCCTATCTCGAGCCCATCTAGCATCACGGGTCTTTGTCTTTGACCTGCTGCGTTACTACCTTACCCTTCAACTGCAGAGCGACATCTCGTCCCAAGGACACAGAGAGTTACATCAAAGCCGTCGCTCGACAATCTTGACTCGTCAGTCAGATGTGAGAAAAGCAACCGAGAAGGGCCATGGCAGTTTAACTGCGACCTGCTCCCTACAAGCTTAACCTGCCATGTCGGGCAAGGCGCGGGGCCGCGCGCGCGAGTCGTCGCCGCTCCAGGGTTGTAGCTGTGCGACATCAAACGCAACCCAACGCGATGAATCCCACCCCACGCAGACACACACCCGCATGCTGCTCGTGCTACGCAGTATTAGAGTCTGTTTACGCATGCAGCCGCTCGACGGGGAATACCTCAGTGCCCAGTGTCTGGAGAGACACACAGACGAGACAGAAGAGAAGAGACAAGACTAGGCTAGACGAGCAAGATAGGCTTGATCGCTGCAGCAAAGCTCAACGAGTAAGAAGTAGCAAGTAATGGATATGTACGAATAGGTCAAGTAGCAACGTAGTTGGTAATTGTTAGTTACCCCAAGGCCATGCGAGACCGGCGCATTGCTTAGTCCGATCGTTGTCTTGGCTCCCTCCCGCCCTGTTCGTGCGTACTCACTTGGTTGTTCTTCTTACATTTCAGCATCCCCCACGCCGACCATGTGCCGTACGGTGTTTGTTACACTTTACCAACCCGGTGGCTTTCAAAGACTTCACCTCGCGATGTCACACTGCCTTCTCAGTATCGCAAAGTCCTAGTGACCTTGCCCAGCCCGATTCTCGGCCGATGGCGTCTTCAGCTTCCGACGGACGCATGTCTCTCCTATAATGTCAGAGGGCGTGCTATCAAGCAGCCCCGCGAGTTTCTGTCAAACCCGCAGAACATACATACCCCTTCTTCGCTGTCTGTCCGCATGATGGCCTTTCTCGACAAGTTGACACTCCCGTCCGCCAACCTCTGCCATCTGGCTGGCTTGCCTCGCAGGGGTTCAGCTGCCGAGACAATGACACCTCCAGTAAAGTGGCTAGGTGCGGATTTTGTCATCTTTGCCCCGGCCGGCAGTGCCCCAGTACCTCTCTTCTCTCAAGGACTTGTTACTCATCGGACAGTTTTCCCTGGCCTGTTTCTCCTCCGCGGCGGTCCATCCGAACCCTTTCTGCCCCAGTCAAACCTGCATCTGCCTCCTCTTTGAGACCCCGTTGCAGCTTCGGCCAGTAGCCACCCGTCTCACCGGCTCCTTTTGGGACAAGGTCAGCATAATGCAGCTACCCGACGACAGTCGCCTTCTTTCGGTGAACCGCATCGGCTAGGCCTGGCTCAACCTGATGACGCCAGCCATATCTGTGCCTTGGGAGCAGATGGCAGCGCAGCGCAGCGCCCCAGCAGCAGCAGCAGCACCAGCAGCAGCACGCCGCCTCCTGTCCCCTCCATCGTCGGCTTCCCTCGAACCAGCGTTGGTTGCGAGCCAAGACGAAATCGTACCTGTCGTGCTTTCTCGCACAAGCTCTACCCCGTGGGCGCACAGTCACATCGTACAAAGATGCCCGGGAAAGGTCCGATGCTGCAGGGAGGCTGCTACGCCAACGTCGTTCAACTTCCTGTCAAACCATCATACTCCATGAAAAGTATGGGTTTCCAGTCACCTCCCCGTCGTCGTCGCAATCGCTTCATGGATAAGGGTAGCTTGAACCTTGACCTTGAAGCAAGGCTCGTCCACCTCTCCGCGCGGCCCGCCGTCCGCCATCGTCCACGCTGATCCCTGCGTCAACCAGGTTTGCCCGCTTGTCCTTTTCCTTTCTTTGCCCCTCAAGATACCCTAGGTACTTTACTCAACACCTGCGGATACGGATACATCCTCCAAGCTTTGCAGCTCGCTGCTCGAGTAAAACATCCCAGCAGAGCCCGCATCTTCTGATGGGGAGCTCCATGTCGTCTGAACCACGGCATGCTCTTTAAAGACTGGCGGGGCCAAACGCGAAAGGCCGGCGCATCACGCGTCTACGCCTAAAAATGAAATGGGAAAGCTACATGTCTCCAAACATTGGGAACTAACACCTTGGCTCTGCCATCATTCTTGACATGTTCTTGATACTCCTCGTTCTCCGAACAAGCTCGGTATTCCAAATCAGACGTGATGCCTCTACAGACACATCAAATCATGAATCATGGACCGTCCAAAACGACTCTCCTGGTGACTTGAACGGTTACGCACCCTCACCCTCTCACTTCTCTCTCGCTCTCTCCCCGACCGACGAATCACTCTCATCAGCTCACCGCCTCGGACCTCTGTTTCACGCACACAGTCGTCCATATCCAAGTAAACCAAGTTCTCGCTCGGCACCACTAGCTGCCTCGTCATTGCTCCATCAACATTCCCGGGTCAAGCCACAGTCTTCCCGGTCTGGACCAGTGAATCCCATTTCGCCCTAGTCCACCACTGCTTCTAGACCTTGCAGGCACTCAAAGACTCATAGTCCTCGGACCCCAGCGCAGCAAGGATGTAAGGGTTCTCATTCCCTACGCTGATCTCTCCTCAGCCTCCCCGCCGTTTGCTCTTGACGACTTCATGGCCAACCCCCACCCTCCATCACGACCCCCCCTCCTCAAGACCTAGGTCGATTTCTCAACTTGTCCGCCCGTTCCGTTCACCCCATCACATCAATACCATGTTCACTAGCTACACCCACTCACATTTCTCACCATGCATTCCCCAATCGACTAAATGGTGGTCAGTTCTCTGCCCCAACTGTGGCGTCACGTCGAGTGGCTGACTCTCATGAACTTTCCAGCTGGTCCTCTGCCATGTTCAAGTGTTGTCCGACTGGCCAGCTTCCTGTCGCTAGCATCGGACGGCTATGTATGCGACCGGTGTCACTCGCAGCAGTTCGCAGCTCGAATCCCAGTCGCTTGCTAGGAGCACAACATGTAGCCCGGAGAAGCTTACAAAATGTCCGCCTATTTCTTAGTGAGAAGTACGCCGAGCAAACAGAACAGGAAATGGCAAATGCCCTTGGCATAAAGCGCTTACATTCACTCATCTGTCCGATTTGGCACGAAAAGGCGGTCATCGTGGCGGCCGCATGAGAAAGAAGTCAGACAAATCACTGCTAGTCTCCGCTCACCCTTCCCGATCCTTCACACCATCATGTACGTCCTCCAACACCCCACTCCCAATCTTCTCTCAATGAAGTTGAATATCACCCCAATCTTTCTCGTATTGTGCTTGCTGCTCTTGATGGATCCAGAGGAATGCCGCATGACTTACCCCTTGGCTAATCCAACCTCGCCCCCCGAGAGCCCGCATCTCTTTTCTTGCTTTCAAGCCACTACCCCATATTACTGCCATCCTGGCCGAGAAGCCACGGCCAGCCACGGAGCTAGTCTACTAGTAGCCCTACGACGGCGTCATGTCAGACCTCCGGAGTTGGTCTCTTCTTCTTTGACCGTTGAACTGACAGAGATGTACAATGTTTGTCTGGGACTTGCGAATCTGTAAGTGCCATATTACGGATATAGAATATGCCACATCGTAACATTTGGGTCCCTTGTCACTACTCATTTGCCATTCCGACTTCCGACTCCTTCGCCGGAGCGAATAAGAACGCCCTGCTATTGTCTTATGCTTAACAGAAATCCCGAACCAACCTCAGCCAAGTCTCTGCTGTAGCACTGACCCTGCTATCAAATATGGTGTCCTCTGAGCAGGGAACAAGTGCTAGTTAGGGTAGGACGGTCTCATCGGCAGCCACCATCTGCACACCCTCTTCCACAAGATCGTCTTGCTCTAGATATCTTTGGCACATCATCTCGAACCCCATGATCCCCACCCACCCCTCCTTCCCGGCGCGTTCCAGTCCGCCTGTGGCAAGCAGGTTGGTTTACCTATTGTCTTTCTTCGTGTGGCGCCCGGTAGTCTCGGATCTTGCCATCACGACGCGTATTCTCTAGAGACCCCGTTTTTACGTGAGCTCTCGCCCCAGGTTTCAGACATACCCGCTGCGTTACAGGCCACAGAGTGATATTCCATCGTACTATGGATCTTTCTCATAGACTCTGGCTCCGGAAAATCGATTTTGACGGTCTGACAATCCCAGGTGGATCTGAGGGGTCTGCTGACCAAGGGGCAGATGCGTGGTGCCCCTTGCCATCGTGACGTCCGCTATTCCATTCGACACGGCTGGCTCTTATGTTTTTCGTGGGGGTAAGGAGAGGAAATCAAGGTCATGCATGCCTTCCGGAGCTTTAGTCCCGTCATCTTTCCATCACCAACACATTATGAACCTGAACAGATTCTCAAGAGCTCGATTCACTGTTTTACGTTTGATCCTTTTGCGTTATAGGATAGCGTACGATGGCTCAGCTCTCATGTTAGCTCCATGGTCTGTTGTTGGTCAAAACCAAACCTGTTATGTGCAAAATCGCTTTGAAGTTGCCCAATGGGACGCTAGCAGCCTAACTATCAGATCAAGCCACAATCCCAAGCTCTAGGATCCGTACGGACTGGGCGGCGGCTACGCGGTCACGGAAGGAACGCCCGTTTGTTTAGTAGCCTGGGTTTGTGACTTGCCATGTGACTCCAAGCCTGCGGCCAAGCGGTGTGGGTGGATGTCTCAGAGTCCTTGGTCTCCAGTGCGAGGACTATTGACGCGTCTGCTCGGGGCTGGGGAGCCGCTGCCGCTTCGTATCGTAGATAAGCCGGGATGTTCATTCTTCGACCGACTATTCTTCAATAGGCTGTCTTTACATCTCGTTTCGACCTCCATGGCAATATGCCAAAGGTTGTCCGAGGAAACTGCCGGGGCGACTAATCCCGATACACTCTGTGTATGCGGGCTTGACAATCCACTTCAGCAATGGAAGAATTTAATAAAAGCCGGAAGGTCGGGGAGGCTAGGCAACCATCCGAGTAGAGTCAACATTATAATGCAGCCTTGTGATTTGCCACGACGTTTGTTTGTATTTTGATCAGCTGGACGCGCAACTATCGCTGGGAAGGTTGTACAGTCTCAGGTGGGTGTCGTTGGATGTGGGCTTCGCCCACCCTCTGATGGCTTCGGAATATGCGACTCCTCGGACGCACAAGGCTGACAGTGATTTTCGTGTTTTTGATGCTGCTGCGTAGGCCCTGCGGTGGTCCGGATCATCTCGATGGTGTTACGACGGTAATGTACATGACAAGTAAGCCCATTTGGAATCATGTAAGGTGCCATGAATGCGAAGATGCCTTTGAGCTTCATCTCTTTGCCCCCAAAAATCAGGCAGAGTCTCAAAATGTTTGATGTGACGTAGCTTTTGCCGAATCCTTGAACTTGGAGAAGTCGATCGGCCGGCGCTTGACTCCGGCGAGTCGTCTTGTCTTGTCCGACGGGCAAATTCTCGGACATGGGTCATATTCTACACCGTGGTGTACCCTTCATCGTTACCAGTTCTTGTCAACTGGTGATGCCCGTAGAGGACAAGACGAAGAAATAACGTTGCTTCCAGACGGCAACGGCTGGAAACCCCCCCCCCCCCGTTTCGTATAAGGATCTCGTATCGGACAGAGGAGGTGAACAAGTGAAGGAAGCCAGGGCATCTGCCAAACAATACCTTTACCAACGATTTGAATCCTCATTTGAGCATCAGCATCATTTCGTACGATGGCTTGACATGATGTTGAGCTTGACGTAGATAGTTGAGCGGTCGTATAGAATGAGAAAGAAAATGAACATAAATATTTTATCCACTTTGACTCTCCGCCTCAAAATTAGCGCCGGAGTCGAGAATCGTCTTTTCGACTTTAAAATTAGCTTCATGGACTCTAAGATTGCATCGGTTATATCATGTCGAAAAGCACCGTTGATGAGGGAGTTTACTAGTATCTTGAATATGTTCGCTTGAGCAACGCTTCCTAGCATACGAAATGGGCATATTTCTCCCTCAGATGCAGCCCTCTATTCAAAATCACTCAGGGCACTTTTGCCATAACAAATGAAATTACAGCAAGAAAAGCGTTTCCCCGTCACAGCCCTGGAGTAGAATACATTGGAGGGCCAGCGAGGGGTGAGATTGCTCCAAACACGCTACGAAAAACAGTGAAAGAAGCGGGTGCGGAGGCGACGTGTGTGCTGATTGCGTCAACGAGGTATGACGCAAGGGGGCTTCTAGAAGATTTGTTAGTTATCCCATATTCTTAATCTCGAGACTCCCATGACTGGTGAGTTTGGGGTAACTCTTACTTACAAAGGCATTTATGACACCAACGCCAACGATACTTATGCCGGTAATTGGAACCATTCAAACGACAGTTTCCTCCGCCGAATATAAAAGCAACCCAAACCCAAGTGGAATCACGGATACGGAGTATGCCATGAGAGGTAGACGAAATTCAGGTGTCCTGACTCTATGTCTGAGAAGCAACGTTGCGGCGAAACGACGACTCCAAGTTGAGACGGGTATCATTCCAATACATTTCCTTTCTCTACCCTCATACACTTGAGACCAGAAGAGGTTACTGAATAGCATATTAGAAAGGTACAAAGGATTCGTGAGGGTAGGTGGGCAGAAAACATACCAAGTATTCATGTACAACGGCGAAGTAGGAGGAAAGTGCGAGAACTACTGATAACTACGGAATGCAGAACAGAAAGCCGCAGTTGCCTCTTAATAACCCTGGAAGAAACCTCCCTTGTCGAGGATCCATCGTCTATAGCCGAGATGTAATATGACATGGAATCTCCAGTGACTGTTTTGATCTTTTTACCGCGTTTCTCGAGTAGGTTCTTCACAGAGGTCTCTCTGAGGATCAATGGCTACGCCAAATGATCGTGCCGCCTCCGATAGAAAGTGGGGAGGCACCGGCACATCCGCGGAGGAAGCGAAAGACAAGAAAGACGCCAAAGCTGTGCGAGACAGCATAGGCTGGGTTGCTATTATGAAGTCGATTTGAGATGGGATATGCTGGATATCTTAGAATCCATACGTTAAAGATAGACATAACGAGAGAAGTCAGAACTCCCTCCGGGGCGCTGAACTGCCTAAGAATGCCCGGTACGCCGGGAGCGAGGGCGGGCGAGGCAACTGCCCTACGTAGAGAAACAAATCAGTAATTGCGCGATGAGGCATTCAAGTTTCTTCGAGCCTAAATTAAGCTGCTCACGCATTTGACATGAAAATACTCACAAGCAGGATCTGCACCAATCTTGACCTCATTGCCCAATGCATCGAGTTTTCGGGATCCTGCGGCTTCTTCCAGTCGACTATGTATGGCGAGTCTTTCTCCGAGACCGTTGAGCAATCACTAGCCGAGGGGGCAAAGTAAGGCGATCGAGCCGACTCATTGTCGTCAGGAATGCTGCTGAAGGCGGTGCCCATGTAGAGGTTAAGCTCATCGACCGGCCCCCAAGGACGACCGTCCGCGCTGAGCCGAAACCACGAGAAACCCGATGTCCGTGAGTGTCGTGAAGACTCACTGCTGACCCTGGATCGTCTCTCCGCCGATGCCACTGGCTCTGGATACCTTGGCTCGTCTTGCCCCGTTACCGCATGGTCTTCTTGGGTGGAAGCCATTTGGCCTAGGTTACACGCCCTGGTCTCATGGAAACCCCGGTGGGTAACTTAGCGAGTGTTTTCGGAAGGGAATGAATGAAAAAGATGACTACTGCCAGATAGACAGCCCAGGAACCTGGGGTAGTGACCGGATGATATGCAGCGGGGAAGCAGCACAGTGGGATCTGACCCTAGCCCTTTCCCCGGGTTCGGACATCATCGTTTTGCCATTTGAGCACTGCCTACTTGCCGCAGTCATACTACCGCTGTGTTGAGAATAAACGACTGCCACAGTTGGTGACGTTGCGGTGCCTGACGTAGCCCCGCTAAATGGGCTGTCGATTGCTTCAGATAGATTCTTCGGAGATTTATCACATGACGGATGCCGGCAAGTACCTCGTAGCACTCATGCGAGTTGTAGGGCCGGCATGGCCGAGAAGCTCAATAGATGAGCGAGCTAAAGGGCTGTAAACGTCAGGCGTAAAACACGCGGGTAACCCCGGCCGATCTGGGTGTTGTGTAAACCATCTGCCGCGCGAGCCGACCTTCTGAGCGTTCAATAAATCATCAGTTATGATTTTCTCATTGGGCTTGCCTTCCAGGTGTGCTGCTATTCACGGGGAGTTGGGTCTAGGCCCCCTGTTTCATGTTGTTCGAGAATGAATCGTATGACGCCTGGTCCGAACTTGTCGTCACATTCAGGCCCATGTCAACCCTTTTTTTTTTCTCTTTTTTTTTAGCAGAGCAGCTCGTCTTGTGTAAAAATTCATGATCGATTGTGTATACCTGGGCAGATCCCATCGTACAATTCGCAGAATATCCTGTTCCGCCTGCTATCAAGCCTTTTCAGCCCTACTAGTGACGAGATGAGACTTGACTTCTGCCTTTGTGAATGAACGCCTTGGAATAGATTACTGGAATCATTCGCTATCCCAAGATAAATCTCACACAAATAAGAACTTAGTGGCCATTCCATCCTTTTGATGTTGTCACCGGGGCTGCGCGATAACTCCGAGAAGTTATACCCGGGTTCTTTTGTGACTAAGAGGAAGATGTCGATCCCGTAGAAAGACTTGACACCAGATCCTGTGGCTAACAGCGAATTAGGTATCCTGAACATACAGGTATTTTGGACTTCTGTATTCTAGATTATGTGAAGTGTATTCTAATTCTCAGGGTCTAGATATCAAATTACAAGCTAAACAATAGTTGGCGGCAGTGGCAGTGGTGAGAAGTCTACCGATGAAGAATCTTTTGCTCCAAATACCTCAAGGGAAGGTAGAAAGTGGCGCTTAATATAATGGCAACCTCGAACCCTATATCACCCGTCGTTTCTGCAATCGGTCCAGTCCACCAGGCTTGAGCCATACAAGGGATGACGAGACCGAAACTCAGGATGCCGGCCCCGAGTGCTGCCGCACCACTGGGAAGACCGGATGAGATGTTCCAAAGACGATGATCGTACAACTTGGAGATTCCCTTGCGGAACAGAAAGTAATCTATTAGTACAATACCGACGAAGGAGGCAGACCAGTACCCAATCAAAGCCACAAAGTTCTCCAAGCTGAGAAAGAAGTCATCAGCTGCCTTGATAGCGACCGGAATCATGATGGCTGTGACGATGACCGAAAAGATATAGCGAGGAACTCGAGTGAGCCAAGGTATAAACGTCTGAAAATTCAGCGTAATGGCGTAGAGAGTGCCAGAAACGTTGCCGAGTAGGGTAAAGGCCAAGACGACAACAACGAGCTTTCCAAAGCCACCAGCAGGGGACAACATGGCAGCTAATACACCACCGACTAGAGTCTTGTCGTAGCCCTCTTACCACTCAGGCACGTTGATGATGGCCCCGCCAATTGCACTACCCAGCGTCATCAGAGGGACAGTAGGAAGGATCAAGCCCGGGTAGCTGTAAGTAAATATGCGGTGCTTTGGATCGAATGATTAGATATCAGAAAGCATGGCAACCACAGCAAGAACTTACGACGCCTAGCGGACCTTTGGGTCAAAGTAGGTTGTTAAGTCTGAAGCAATGCAGGCCCACGGAATCATGTATGATGCAACAATCATGCCGAAGCTCAGAACTGCAGATGCGGTTGCTGGGGCTATCTCAGCTTGTTCAGCCAGTCTAGAACCTCCGCATCCAGTGGCGATCACAATGGTGCTTACTGCTGGAATGAAGGCGTACGTCTCATAGAAGTGTAATACCTTGAACCCGTAGAATGAGATGAATAAGGATAGTATTGCAATGAGCGCGATGCCCAGATCTGGACTGAGAGCACCGTTGGTGACGGCCGATAGGCACTGGCCACCAACGACGCAGATAATTACACAGAACCCAGTTAATGTAGCTAGGTTGAGGACGACTGGCACCGATACAAGGTAGCGCCTAAGAAACGAGGTCAGCAATACGTAGTGACCTTGGCTGGCGAGGTGGTTGACCCGAAGCTGTATCGTGCTTGTATCATCGAGCGCATACCCGTTTTAGGACTAAACGTTGCGAGAAAGGCCGGAGCTAGCTTTGATAGCAACGCGAAGAAGAGAATAACCAGGGACGAGTCGCGGAGATTGAGACCAAAGAGCAAAGGACCCAGCATACCAAACGTAATCCTTGAGTGCTGTTAACAGACACCATTTGCATCCTCATCAGCCAGACTGATAATGACTCACGGAAGAATATTGGCGTTCATAGAGCACCACACATTGAATGCATTGAAGTATCGAGTTGATGTGCGTTTTCCCAACGGAATCGGCTCAATGCCTTGCTCTTCACCTCGGCCCAGGCGTAGAAGTTTGTGAAGCAAGCCATCGCGCTTATTGTGTCCATATTGTGATTTTGTCGTGACTGTCCCATAGCTCTTCTCTTCAGGTTGTGCGTGTAATTGCCGATCTACGGATGACGGCCGTGATGCTTAATATCCGTCATGTTAATTACTGACTTCCTGTGGTCTCTGATCTTATGCAAAGCTTTCGTGACGACGAAGTCGATTGTGTTGAGAGTGGTTGCACGAGATTGTGAAAAGATGATGAGATTCTCAGAGAGCGGTAGGCGAGTGTGACAAGCAAGTTCAAGTTGCAGATCCGCTGCTGTTTGATCTTGTCCTGCCTTAGACCCGACACTGTGGTACGGGAGGTAATCAATTGGGTATGCGTAGACGCACAAAGGATGACGGACGATCTCCGTTCACCTTGGTTGATGAACCACCGCAATGTCTCTGCGTGAGAAAGCTTAGCGTGGTAGGTCTGCGAAGGTAGACGAAAGAACCTTGGAAATACTAGATCAAACATTATAAGATGTCTGCAGTGGAAATGGAAGCCCTTACCACGAGGACGCAGTCCACCAAGAGAGCATGGCTGGCTGTCAAATACTATTTCGTATGGCGCGTCTTCTGTTGCAGACAGGGCATTCAATGACACTTTCTAGACCTTGGCAGGCAGCTAAAATCTCTAGCGGGTGTGGTTCACACCATGTTTAAGTACCGATACTTTGCGATTAGCGACAACACGAACTTAGTTAAGCCAGTGTGGTTTCCATCGGCAATTCTTTGGCCGCGGGCAACAAAAATGGGGGTAGCTATACTTGGGCCCTGACTCCCGGGACCCTTCGAGTGCCTCGGGCTGCCATCCGAACGGCTAGAGGCTTCGCTGACCTTTCTTTGATTTGCGAGAAAAGTCTATTGTGTCCAGGCCTCTTGGCTCCTCTCGCTCGGCGCGTATCTGGGAATTTATTTGACGATCAAGAAAGAAACTAAGAAAAGATCTAGAAACAAAAATTAGAAACTTCGACGGCGTTCGAGCTCCCTCCGGTTTACTTTGCGAACGATTTCCACTAAACATCCAAACTTGGCTTGGGTTTATTAGCATGTTCTTGATGTGTGAATTTCACTTGCTTCAGCTCTTGGTTGGAAATCGCCAGCGGTTTCTACGCCGAGTCACCCAACACCCCAGCACGCTAGAGTCGGGCGCCGAGAGACGACGAGAATGAATGAGAACCGATCTGCCAACGGATCATCTCCCACATGAGCGATGACTGGAACGTCCGACACGGTGACTTTGCGGCGAGCTTGATTGGCAACTTACGGCACCGATGCCGGAATGGCCAACTCGCTCAAATCGGAAGGGTAAACTGCAATTTGCTAGTAAAGTATCAGGTAGCCATCCAACCCAGAACGGTCCCGCTCTATTCAATCATCCTGGACCGGCGCCTAGCTGCGCCAAATCCGACACAGAATGCAAGCCATAACTGTCTACTTTACACGCTATATAGCACATCATTTACTTTCCGCGACTTGAGATGATTTGCCCGACCAAACTTGACAGTATAGTATTTACCAAAAACGCGCTGCCTCACTGTAAACAAGTCACAGTCTCAACGTCTGAAGCTTGTCTCTTCCCGATCATTTCCCGCTAGTAGTGTTCGCCGGAAATAATTTTACAATAGGTTATCTCAACGAATTTCCGCTACTGCTTTCGACAACTTCTATCAGACGGCCGTGGACTAAAGAAGGCGGCGAATTTTACAAGGGTATTGGTGGAGAGACTACCTGTTTCGGTCAAAGAGCGCTGGAAGATCATGGCCTACACTTAGTACATGAGGTGTTTGAACAGGAACTATCAGGGGCTATCGTCCTGATAATGTTAGCTTATTGTTAGTCACAAACCCCAAGGATCCACAAGCCGAAGCCAAGGCACCATGACCTGATAACTTTGAGCGATCTTCACGGCGGGGATTCGGGACGGGATAGTCAAGCCCGGATGAGGCCCGGCGCCAAACATGAAGAAAGTCCCGGCCCCGAATCCCACCTGAGCGGTACGGAATACCCCTTACCCCTGATTTGGACCCCATTTCTTTTCTGACGTCTCGCACTGCTGGTTGCATTCCGCGCCCAAAACGCTTAAACCTTGAGAGCCACCACGGCCACTTTCGTCTCAAGGGACCCAGCTCAACGCGCTACGCGGCGGCTCCTGAGACACAATGTCCCCTCGTTTATATGCCTTGTCTGAAGCCGACATCGAACAGCTGTGGCCATATACCATGGCTTCCCGTCGCGAACTTTCCAGTCAAAGCTCCCTTGGAGCATCCTGAACAACTATACGAATAGTCGACAACCCCCCTTTCGACATGACAACATGGCCAATCGACGACAACGGCGTGCCATAATCATCGCCGTAATCCTTTTCGGTTTGTTTGCTTTCCACAGCCTTCGTTCCCGCAGCGAGCCGCCCCCTGTTGTCCGCGAGCATGTCAACATCCGCCTCGTGAAGAGCAGCTTCGACTGGGCCAACCATCGTCACAAGTACCCTGTATCACCATCACGAATGCACCATCTGCCTACACAACGGCCCAAGACCCTCCCGCGAGTCCAATTCAACTTTGGCGCGAAGCAACTGCGCAAGAATGATGCGAAATCTGAGTCGCGACGAAGAGCGGTTCGCGAAGTCTTTGTCAAGAGCTGGAACAGTTACAAGGAGTACGCGTGGGGCTTTGACGAGTTAACGCCGGTTACGGCCAAGGGGAAAGACACCTTTGGCGGTTATGCGGCAACTCTGGTCGATGCGCTCGACTCCTTGTGGATAATGGACTTGCGCGATGACTTTGACGCTGCCTTGTCCGTCATTGGAGCCATGGATTGGGATGATACAAAGGAGACGGCTGTCAATGTCTTTGAGACTACTATCCGTCATCTCGGAGGACTATTGAGCGCGTACGACCTTAGCGGGGAACCCGTACTGTTGCTCAAAGCCATTGAGCTTGGCGACATGCTGTATGCGGCCTTTGATACACCGAATAGGATGCCTCCATTCTGGTTGGATTTCCAGCTTGCAAAAGAGGGCAAACTTGTCGCTGGTACATCAGATCCTTCGGCATCGCCATGTTCGCTATCGCTCGAATTCACAAGACTCTCGCAAGTGACCGGAGACCACAAGTACTTTGACGCAATCGAGAGAGTCAAGCTGTTTCTCGAGAGCACGCAGCGAGAGACTCAACTTCCGGGTATGTGGCCGGCGCTCATCAACTTCCGGGACGAGAGTGTTTTGCAACACAACGAGTTCACATTGGGAGCACTCGCCGACTCTCTGTACGAGTATTTGCCCAAGATGCATGCTTTGCTCGGAGGGACGGACCCGGCTTACGAGAAGATGTATCGCCATGCGATGCACGTTGTTGAGCAGTACCTCCTATTCCGTCCAATGCTCCCCGACAACGAGGATATCCTATTCTCTGGGACAGCGTTTGCCGAAGGCGACGTGCGGCGCAACCCCGAGAGCCAGCACTTGTCGTGCTTCGTTGGCGGGATGTTTGGGCTGGGCGGCAAGCTTTTCGGTATCAAAGAGCACATGGGTCTCGCCGAAAGGCTGGCCCGCGGCTGCGGGTGGGCGTACAACTCATTTCCAACAGGTCTGATGCCGGAGATCTTTGGCATGGTTCCTTGCGAGACACTGGATGGCTGTAAATGGGACGAGGGGCGGTGGAAGCGCGAAGGCGCATCAGGTTTGAAAAAGGGGTTCTCACACGCGCGGGACCCCCGTTACATTCTGCGTCCCGAGGCGATTGAAAGTATCTTCCTGATGTATAGGATGACTGGAAACCCGGAGTACCAGGAAATAGCATGGACGATGTTTCAGTCTATTGTGAATGCGACAGAGACTGAGATTGCCAACTCGGCTATTGAAGACGTCACTGTCAGAGGAGAAACGAAGAAGCTTGATTCAATGGAAGTAAGTCACAACATCTGCGAGGAGCCAAAGACAAGTACAGGACGCAGACTAACGGTACTACAGAGCTTCTGGATGGCGGAAACGCTAAAGTATTTCTATCTTATCTTCTCGCCTCCTAGCCTAGTTAATCTTGACGAGTATGTCTTGAACACAGAGGCACATCCGCTTAAAAGACAGTTGTTGTGAGCAGAAAATACAATACCTTCACCTTAGAGCAGGCCTTTCTCACTGCGCTGCCTCAAGTTGAGGCACTTTTGCATCAATTGGAGCTGTCTATTTGGTCCGATATGTACAGATAAGCGCAGAAGTATGCATGGGTACCTCGTGATGCTGGACCTGCCAGCCCACCTCCCTTGCGGGCTCGAATCTGCTGTGATGATGTATCATATCTCATCATGTGCAAGTTCCCTCCCAAATGGTATCATGTGAGGAGCTACGCCCCATTTCCCACTGACCGTCTCCTTTAAGGTAGCTCCCCTAGTGCTTCCATCTCAACAGGGTGACTGAGGCCTTTGCAAATTCATACGGGCCCTTACCATCCCACTTGCTCTCAGTAATACCGACAGGGTTCTTGTCGCCGGTGTTAACGACCTTTACATTCTCGCCAGTGACGGTGTAAACCTGAACATCGGCACCCTCCTTGACACCCTCGAGATCGACGGAGAATCCCTTGGTCTCATGGACGTTGACGACAGCCAAGTTGACAAAGCCGTTGTCGTCGATGGTGGCACTGACGTCGAGGTAAGGAGTCTCGATGGCGCCGCGGATCCAGACAGGCTCGGTGGCGCCCTCATACTCGGGAGCGCGAACGTGGGTAGCGATAGTAGATCCTCTCATATACTTGCTGAACAACAACAGAGGCCACCAAGTAGTTTGCTTGGTGATGCCTTCCTTCGTGGTCATCAAGGGGGAGATGACGTTGACCGATTGAGCAATGTTGGCCATGCCAACGTACTTTGCCTGACGGACA